AAAAGAAAAGCATGCTTAACCCCCTTCACCTGTTTCCCTTACTCAATCCTCACCCTGCCGCTCAGTTAAGAGTCTGTTTTCCAGTTTGTCTTTTTTCCTTTGTTCATTTATTTCTTCAGTGAATGAGCGACATCATATGGTAGGTCTTTCTCTGACTTCTCTCACTTAGTGTAATACTCTCTAGGTCCATTCGGATGTCTCTGCAAATGGCAAGACTTCATTCTGATGGCTAATATTCCAGTGCGTGTGTGCGTGTGTGTGTCTGTCTGTACATGTCTTCCTTTATCCATTCATCAGTTGATGGCCTGGTTGTTTCGAGTTTGGAGTTGTAGATAATGTTGCTGTGAACACTGGGGTGCACAGATCCCTTTGAGTTCACGTTTTTATATCATATGAGTAAATAACCTAGTAGCGAAATTGCTAGATTGTAGGGTAGTTTTTAACTTTTTGAGGACCCTCCATACTGTTGTCCAGAGTGGCTGCACCAGTCTGTATCCCTACCGGTGGTGCGGGAGGGCCCCCTTCCTCCACGTCCTTGACAACTCGTTTCCTGTGTTGATTTTAGCCACTGACAGGTGTGAGGTGATCTCATCCTGGTTTCAGTTTGTATCTCCCTGAGGAGTGATGTGGAGCATCTTTTCATGTGTCTGTTAGGCACCTGGAGCTCTTCTTTGGAAAAACGTTCATGTGTTGTGCCCGTTTTCCACATCTTTTCTTCAAGTTTATTTTGTTAGGGGTGCCTGGGTGGCTCAGCTGGTTGAGCATTTGATGTTGACTCAGGTCGTGATCTCACCATTTGAGGTTGAGCCCGATCAGCACGGAGCCTGCTTTGGATGCTCTGTCCACTCCCCCTCCCCCTCCTCCACTGTGTTCTCTCCCTCAAAAATAAACAAACCTTAAAAAATAAAGTTTGGGGTGCCTGGGTGGCTCAGTCAGTTAAGCGTCTGACTTCGGCTCAGGTCATGATCTTGGCAGTTTGTGGGTTTGGGCCCCACATCAGGCTCCGTGCTGACAGTTCAGAGCCTGCTTGGGACTCTGTGTCTCCCTCTCTGCCCCTTCCTGCTCACCTCTGTCTCTCAAAAAAATAAACATTAAAAAATTAAGTTTATTTATTTTGAGAGAGAAAAGTGCACAGTGGGGGGGGGGGGGGGGGGGGACAGAGAATTCCAAGCAGGCTCCTTGCTGTTAGTGCAGAGCCCGATGTGGGGCTTGAACACCTGAACCATGAGATCATGACCGGAGCCAAAATGAACTGGACGCTTAACTACCTCGCCACCCAGATGCCCTGTTCTGCCCATTTTGAAGTGGATTATTTCACTTTTGGTGTTAACCTGAATAAGTTCTTTGTATTCTTTGGGTACTAATCTCTCCTCCCGTTCAGGAGGCTTTTAGTTTTGTTGGTGGTTTCCTTCACTGTGCAGAAGCTATTCTGATGTAATCCAGGACTCACGCTTTCTAGTTTCAAAATGTCCTGCAAAACAACAATCAAGAGATAGCTACCGAGTGCCCAGAGTTAACCCCAGACACCTGTGGCCAGCAGAGTTTCAACAAAGGTGCCAAGAACAGAAGACAGAATGATCTTCTCGGTGACGGCACTGGGGCAGCTTAAGAGTCATATGCAGAGTGAAGCTGACTGCACACCAAATACAAACATTCACTCGAAGTGGAGAAATCTGTAAGGGCAAAATTAAGTAATCAAATTCTCGGAAGTAAACAGGTGTATTTCCATGACCTTGATTCACCAAAGGACTCTGGGACAGGATGCCAAGAGCACAGGCAAATCAAGAAGATATGGTGGATGTTGCCAGAACAGAAGCTTGCTGCCTGAGGGCCACCACTGAGAAAGTGAAGATGGAACCCATGAAACGGGAGAAAACAGTCACAAACCATTTCCTGATGGGAACTGAGTTCTGAGTGTACAGAGAACTCTGACAACTCTGTAAGGTGACCGAATCAAGTCCTGGACACAGAACCGGGCCGGGAATTTCTCCAGAGCCCACGCAGATGAGCAACGATGCAAGTGCACTGGTCGTCAGGGAAATGCAAGGCCCAGAGGCAGCAGCTGGTGCCCACTGGCCGCTGGAGTGGGCGCTCCCTGGCACCGGCCAAGGGAAGACGTACCACCTTCTGGAATGCATAGGACGGCATAGTGACTCTGGAAGGGCTGGGCAGCTCAAACTCCCACATAAATGCACATGGCGGGCATCTATCCCAGAGAGCGAGGCTCCCTCCACCCTGAGTGTGGGGTGACCGGTCACCTGCAGGAACACGGAAGCAGGGCATGGACCCCCTGATGAGTCTCCCAAGAGAGCCCAGGCAGATCCAGCCTGAGGGCTGTGCAGACTCCTCTACAGAAAGCTCTGGAAACAAGAGTGGAGATGAAGGTCAGGCTGGTGGCCACCAGCAGGGGGAGGTGTGGGTGTGAAGGGTGGCAGGAGGGGCCCCTGCATGGAGGCAGTAGCCCTACACGTGGATTCCTATTCCCGGTGTCCTGGTGACACATACCAGTTGTAGATGTCATCACCAAGAATAATAGAGGACACAGGGACCACTGTGATGTCTTGACTGCAAAGGGACCTGAGCGTCTCCAGTGAAAGCCTGTGGTCCTGAGTGGACAGGACCAGCTCCACACCCCAACCCTCATCTATGCCCGTTCTTCACTGCATGATGTCATCCCTGCTCCCACATCTTGCCTACGCTCAGGGACACCGGCTTCAGTCCTCTCAGCTGCTCCTCCCTCTGGCCTGTGCAAATGACAAGTGCCAGAGGCCCCCCTCCACCTGTACCCCAATGCCTGTGGGAGCTGCACAGTTTTGGGAGACTGGACTAGCTCTTCCAGAGGGACCACTTTGGAGATGGCCCTTCTCCCTGCCCCGCTCTGAGCTGCTGGGGGCAAATGGCAGCATGTGGCGGTCATCCTGCTTTTGCAGCAGAGGCTTGGGGAAGGGACAGACTACTGGGCAGGGCAGGGATGAGGCTCGGGCCACTCAGGGACAGGGCACATCCCCCTGGTCTGGAGGTGATGGTAGCTGCATCCTGTCAGCTGACTGCACCTGTCCCTTGTTCCAGAGCCAGTGACACTGGTCAGCTTGGGTCCTTGGGGGTCCTCCACTCATCTGAGACCACAGCACAGGTAGGCAGGGACGCCCAGGACACCTGTGGTCAGTGCCCACACCAAGATCAGAACCCCAAGCCGTGTCCTCAAAACCCTACAGGCCTGACCCAGGAAGTCCTCGCAGCCCAAACGCTGGAATCCCAGGACCCTGGGTGTGGACCGCACGGTGTGAACAGCAGGCGGCTCCGTGTGAACATGTGGGACAAGGGGACCTGGGGAGGCAGAGAAGCCGGGACAGACAGGCCGCCATGAGAGCAGGGTGGGTAGTGGCAATGGTGACAAAGTCCGGGACACCTCCTGGTGTGGACACTGGAATTCACTGTTTATTGCCCACAAGAGAGCAGGAGCTGCCGGCCAGCTCCCCCACAGTGCAGTCCAGGCTGTGAGCCGGGTCGCCCAGGGTACAGTCCAGGTCACTTGGCCAGGGCCCCCAGGGTGCAGTCCAGGCTATGGGCTGGGTCACTTGGCCAGCTCCTCCGCCACTGCTTTTCGCATCTTGTCCTTGAGGTAGGCGCCTTTCTGCCACTCAGACTTGAGCTCCAGCCACTCGTAGTAGGGGACCTGCAGGGGGCAGGGGCACCTGTGCTCTGCCCGCTGCTCCACACCTGGCCTCCCCACCCTCCAAGCCCACGAAGCTGCCGAGTGTGGCTGTGGAAGAAGCTGCCGGGGCCTGAGCCCCCGGGGCCAGGGATCTGAGAATCTGTGGCACCTGATGACAACTTTTTCATCAGCGTCTGCTCTAAGAGCCCTGAGCAGACGCTTCAGGGCCGCGGCCACAGGGAATCTACGAGGTTCCGGGCCTCCCTTCGTCCCGCACAAAGGGGCCCACTGGACTGGCGGTACTCACGTCTACCACCAGGAAGCCGGCGGCCCGCACGTGACGCCGGGCCAGGGCGAAGCGCCCCAGCAGGTCTCTGCTCCGGCTGCTGAAATTGGGGAACTCCCAGCGCAGGAACGCCAGCCTGGTGGGGGAGGGGCAGAGTGCTAGGCATTCTCCCGGGGGAGGGGGAAGGAGGAAGGGGGCACCAGAGAAGAGCCAGAGTCCAGGGCCGGCCACAGGCCACCTACCTCTTGGCCCCAGGGGGCAGCGGCTGGGTCCCCGAGGGAGGAGTGAGATGCGGGGCTACAAAGTCTCTCAGGGGCAGGAACTGGCCGTCCGCATCCAGCAGCACCTCGGCGTCTAGGGAGGGGCACGGGTGGACATGGAAGGGACCGTCCCTGGGGCACAGAGACCTTGTCCTGGACAGAACAAGCCCCGTGCCCACCACCAGGGTAGTGCAGAGAGGGCCTCACCCAGAACCCAGCCGTACTGCGTGGCCACTGCGAAGCTGCCCCTGCTGGGGCTCCCCAGCAGCCCCCGCAGGGTGTCCCGCAGTTCCTTCTGCAGGGGTGTGGCCTTCCCATCACAGGCCAAGAGCCAGGGCGCCCAGTCTGAGGCCGGCAGAAGGGGGCCCGTGTACTCAGGGTGCTCCAGCTGGGCGGTGGCGCTGATGTGCAGCAGCTTCTGGAAGGTGCTCTGGTCCTTTGGGGACTCGCTGCCTGAGGCAGAACGAGAAGGGAGGGTGAGCCGAGGCCGACGCTGGGCCAGAGAAAGAAAGGGGCCAGGCAGGGGACAGTGACACCCTCGATCCCAACTGACTCTGAACTTGGCATCATCAGGGGCAGAGACAAGATCATAAGGGCCACGCACATGGAGAGGCAGAAGGATGGACGAACAGATGCCAGCCAGGTGAGCTCTGGGCACCATCTTGCTGCTCTGGAGCCCCCTCCCTGCCAGGCCTGAGGCCCCCAGACCCCTGGGGTCAGGGAGGGGAGGGGAAGCCCCAGCACTCACCCAGGAACCGGGCATGCAGTTCAGGGCAGAGCACCGCTCGCAGCGCCTCCCCCTGCACCTGCTGCAGCACGCACAGCGCCCACACCACATCCACCTGCAGGGCCGGGTGCAGGCTCCGCAGCTTGGGCCCCAGCTTCTCGTGAACCTAGACAGGGGCGGGGCTCTGCTCAGCAGCCGCATACCTCCTGGGCCGGAGGCAGTCGGAACGCTGGAATGGCTTGGCTGCGCTGAGGCTAGAACAACTACTGGGGGCAATCCTGGCTGACGTTCTTGGCCAGGCCTGGAGCCCCCCCTTCCCCCAGTAGAAAGTACCAGAAACCTTCTTCCTCACCCAGGACTAATGGACAGCACAACATGCAGCAGGACTTTCCTGCTGCCCCTCCCAGCAGCAAGGGCCTGTGGCACAAAATCACAGGCCCCTGGGGACAGGGATGGATTTCTGGCCCTGGGAGAACTTGGGAGAGTACAAGGAGGGCAGTGTCCCCGTGGAGGCCCAGGTGCACACTCGAGATGTGTCATGCCTGAATGGGCCTGCTCGGGCCTGCTTTGCATGGTGGTATGCCAAGGGTTCAGAGCACCAGCAGGACAGTAACGGAAAACCAGCGGCCCCCTAGCCCTGACTGCGGCGAGTGAGCCGGCCAACACCTCCCGACCTGTGCACACGGCCGCACAGCAGGCATGTAGAGGACCTCACATCTTTTGTCCCCAGACCATCCCTGTGACACGGGGCTCCAGCTCCCCTCTCACCCCTGAAGCCCCCGGGTCAGGGCTCCCCTCTCTTGCCTCCACACCCAGGGTGGGTGAACAGGTGCACAGACCATACCAGGCCGAAGAACTTGTCCTCTCGCTCGGGACGGAAGTTCAGGTGTGCGAAGGCCAGAAGCACGTTGCACAGGTGCGGCACGGTGACGGTGTGGGCTCGGTCTACGACGTGCTGGGCCGGCCACACGGGGTGGAGGACAGAATGAGAGGGGCCCTCCCACAGGGCCCACGAGCCCCCAGCCGCCCAGGGGACACCTGGACAGGGTGGCGGGCCAGACCTCCCCCTGCTCATTGCCCCCACCCAGAGACCGGTGGTAGTGTCACAAACGCCCCGGGTGGTCTGCGCAGCCTCAAGCCGCTGCAGGTAAAGTTAAGTGTCTCTCCTCGCTGTTTCAGGGGATGAAGTTTAGAGTCCTGAGCAAATTCCGAGCCTCACGGTCCACACTACGTCCTGCTATAGCCACCCGAAGACGGATGGAAACTCCTCCAGAACCCAGTGACACGACGGAGGACACCGTCCTCACCCGCCATTCTCCACTGCCCACAGAGGCCGCGCCTCTACGAGTGAGCCGGGTAGGAAGCCCCTGTTCGTAACCGGGGAGTGTCTGGGGAGGCCATGCCTCCCCAGTGGAACAAGCAGGGTCGGCCCGGCTCACCTGGGCCAAGGCCTCGAACAGGGGAGGGCTGAGCCACTTGAGGAGGGCGAAGGACTTGGCGCCACGGGCCACCTCGCCGGACGTCAGGCTGGGCACGTGGGGCAGCAGGTCGGCAGCCAGGCGCTGGAGCACCTGGGTCTGGTGGAAGCCAAGTTTGCCTTCGGGACAGAGCGACCCCAGGGTTCACCTGGTGAGGGTGGGCAGGCTGCTCTGCCCTCCCTCTGCCCCCAGTGCCTGGCCTGGAGCTCCAGGGGCTTGGTGTCCGTGACCGAATTTATCCCTGAGGCCCAGCACAGAGGATCAGGGCCCATGAGCCACGGTGTTCCTGTGGCAGCCTCTTGGGCCGGCGCCTGCCACGGGTGGGCGGGCACCGAATTTGACACAGCTGCGGCCAGCCCGCCTCCCTTCCCACCGCTCCCCATGGGGAAGGCTCACCGTAGGCATAGGCCAGATCCAGGAGCATGCCTTTTGTCAGCGGGAATGGCTTCTGGACCAGGTGGTAAGAGACGGCACGCAACAAGGGCACTGAACGCCGGTTCTGAGCCGCCAGCGTCACCAGCACCTTCCGCAGCTCGTCAGGGCCGAAGCGCTCCACCAACTCCAGGCACTGTCAACCACAGCCCTCAGGGTCAGCTCGGCGGCTCAGGCCGGGGATCCCATGCAGCACCGCCCCTGCGGGACAGCGACTGGACCTGAGCTCAGTAATCCAGTACCCTGCCGTGCGGGCCTACTCGGTTCTCAGCCGGGGCACCCGTGGGCCCGAAGTGGCCTGTCTGCAGCCAAACTTATCCCCGGGTCCCAGGGCAGGGGACCCGGAGCCCATGAGCTGCGAGCTTCCTGTGGCAGCCATCTGGGCCAGCTCTCGCTACAACAGGAGCGGGGGCCGAATTTGACTTGACTGCCGGGGGCGTGTGGCACATCACCAGAAGCGTTAAGCGGAGCCCCCTTGTAAGCGTGGCTTAGGCTCTGCCCTACCCCTGAGGCCCTCCAGGGAGAGGAGGAGAGCCGGCAGCCCGCTAGCTAGGTCCACTGCCAGCTAGGTCCACTGTGTGGCCACGGGGCGCGCCTGCAGCTGCCCGGGGCTCCTGCCGCAGTACCTTGTCCTCCAGGCGGTTCATCAGCGGCTCAGAGAGGTGCCCCGTCTTTGCCATCAGGGCCACCGCAGTGCGGCCATCATCGATCTCCGTCCAGCGCCGCTCTAAGTGCAGCAGCAGCTCAGCCAGCAGCTCCGGGGACTCCCGCATGTGTGTGGCGCTCGACTCGGCCAGGAAGGCCAGCTGCCTGTACTTGAGCCTACGCAGGCGCCAGCGGACCTCCTGCTCCACCGAGCGCAGCTCCCTGCAGGCCGCGGGCAGCGCCAGCGCATACAGGCTGCGGAGCAGTTTCACAAGGGTCCCGTGCCACACAGCACTTATCTGGTGGGGGATGGGGGGGGGAAGGGGACACACACGGGGCAGTCACAGCCGGGACCCCACCTGCCCTGGGCTGGTCTGCAGCCCACCACCAAGTCTACCTCCCGCGCCACCTGGTCAGCCGTGCAGGGTCACCCGTGAGCAAGGACCCCTGTGCTAGTCAGAAGATTTCCCTTGAGGGGAGACCACAGACACCCGCTGTGGCTCCGTGTGCCCAAACCCAAGCAAAACCGTGGAGTCCAGAAGCCAGGGGGAAGCGTGTGGGACAGACTCCGAACTAAGAGTTTTGTCAACCCGCTCATTCTGTTGCTTGTAGCGACGGTAACAGTTTTTAGGTGTTACAGACCCACCGGCCCTTCTTCAGAAGCAGCGGCCACATCGCATCTGACAAACCCCGAACCCTGAACCTCTTTTCTCCCACAAAGCAGTCCTAAGGTTTCCGGGAACGTAGTTTCTTAGGAATGCAACCACCGAGGACAGCAAAGGTGACATCCCTACAGAGCATGCCCAGGCATCAGCACCCCGCCAACCCCCACCTTCCAGGGCTGCTGCTGACACCAGCCAGCACGCGGGGATGCCCCTGGCACATGAAGCTACGTGAAAAAGCGCTTGATATGTGGGCAGAGAGAGGCCAGGTGTCACAGAGTCCTGCCTACCCCACACTCCCTGGCACCAGCGAGGAGTGGGGCGGGGGGGAGTGACTGGCCAGCCACCTGCTGCCACCGGCACTGTGTCAGACACCGGCACGCCGTGAGGCTTCACGCCAGGCTCCACGACGTCCCCAAAGCCCCAGTGCACACGGCAGAGCTTCCCTCTTCCTGGGGGCCTGCCTGTTTCTGAACAAGGGGGCCCCCTGTTCTCAGTGTGTCACAGTCCGGTGCAGGACCCCGCGGTCCAGCACGCAGCCTCTGCCCGTTAGGGGGTGGGGGTGGGGTGCTGAGTGCAAACAGGGAAGGTGGCGTGGAGGGGCTGGGCAGCTGGAGACATGCATGCTCCATGACAGCAGGGACACTTTCAAATAAGAGAGCCTGGCCACCATCCGCATTACCCATACTCTGGTCCCTGCTTGCTTTCGGCTTACAACTCTGTTACAAGGTTCACTCTTATCTCCCAGAACTTGCTTCGGTTCCGTGTGTGTGTGTGAAATGTGCACTGACAATTACAGGCTTACAGCCTCGGAACAAGAAGGGACTCAGTGAACCGTCACCAGCTATGGCATCACCAGGAAGCAAACTGGTGCCCTGACCCCAGCACACACCTCTAACTGAAGCAAGAGGTTCCAGGATGCCATGCTCCCCTTACCACACACGCATTCTGGCATTTTCTCCATTACCCTATCTCATTAAAACCAGCCGGCCACATCCACTACTCTCACAGCCTCTGGTTTGGAAAACACTGTTAGTGCAACTGCCACCCCGATCCGTGCCTCTCCTCCCCATCCTCTCGGACAACTGGACACAGAGTCCCCTGCTCAGTGTCGGAAACACGACTTCTTCCCGGTAGCACAGACCAAGGCAGGGAGTGAGGGCCGACGCAGCCAGTGCCACGGGCCCCTGGCACTGGAGCGAACAGCCTGGCTGAAGGGAGTCCTTCCTCAGCCAGCCCAGAGAGGGCCTGAGGTCTGACCACCCCGCCTGGCTGCCTGGGATTCCCCGTCAGTCACCCCACATCCCCTGCAGCCATAGGAGTGTGCCCACAGTTGGCCAGACACTGCGGCAGGGTCATGCAAGTCAGCACCGCCTGGCAAGGGGACGAGCACCCAAGGAACCGGGTGGAACCAGTGCGGCTTCCTGTGCTTCTGCGCCCCGTGTGCTGCTGAAAGGACAGTGGAAGGATGGCAACGTTCACCTAACGGGACCGCTCTGTGATCAGTGGGGAACAGCAAGCAAAAGTAGCCTAGACTCTATACAACAAAAACTTCTCACAGGACGGAGAGAACTAAGCAAGGCAGCACAGTTCCCGTCTATACCTGCAAAGTGACTGGCTGCTTTGGACTCTGGTGCCATTGTTTTCTGCATGGGGAACCCTGAGAGAACATTTTAGAAACCCACCTGGCTGTCAACGAGATGGAGAAGCTGCTGAAAGCGGGCATCCTGCACGAGCAAGGCTCTGTCTTCCGGCTTGTCAGACAGCAGGCGAGAAAGCTGGATAAGCATGAGGGCCGCATGGTTCTCTTGCAGGCAGCGACTGTCACTGAGCAGCTCCAGGAGCTCCTCTGGCCGGGTGGCCTTCTCAATGAGCCGCTCCACCTCCTGGTGCTCTGGACAGGGGGCAGACAGTTGTTCCTTCTCCACAAGCCCCGACAAGGGGCCTGGGAAGTGGGAACTGGGGCAGGTGGCTGAGAAAGTCAGAGTCCTATGCGCCACGCTGGCAAGCCTCAGTCGGCCTACCGGAGCCACCACAGGGGCCAGAAGGGTGGCCTCTCTCAGGAGGCACGTGCATCGCTTCACCAGGCGGGCTGCCATGATGGCCTGGGTGGCAGGGAGGGCAGCTTCCTAGTGAACAGGTCCAGGTCCAAAGCCCTGAAGAGGAAAAGGAGAGAAAGGGGTGATGCAGGCGCAGCTTCTGAGTCAGAGATCCGAGAACACGGCAGGTGACACAACGTTGTGGCCACTCTCCACACTAGACGGAACCTCTGCTTTCTGCCTGCCCCATACCTGGGGCACAGAGGCTTTTTGTTTCGCTGTAGGATGGAACCAAATGCCAACCCCAGGAGCATTACAGCTAGGGCTGGAGAGCACAATTGCCTACGGGGTGGTTCAACCATTCAGATCCCCAGGTTCAGCCCCGGGTTCCTAGGTGGGAGTCTCCGCAGGATTGGACAGTATCCTTTCATTTACTTTAAAAGTAACCCAGGATCAAGAATGATGGACTTCCAGAAGCACAAGACGATATTTCACATCAGACTGCTCCTGGAAAGCCCTGGACATATGACCCACATCCCGCAGCCTCACAACGTGGCTCAGAATGACCTCCTGGGTTTACATCCCTCATCCCGACAGGCCCTGCACCTTCAATAGACCCAGCCAGGGCGACTGCCCCCCACCCCCAGCACAGCACCCACAAAATCACCCATCACCTCTCCACACCCAGGCAAGACGTTACCTTCTCCAGGGGTGTGTCACATATCCCGATACTGTTCAGTCCTGCCTGCCTCTGCGATCAAGTGATGGGGTCCGTGCGCCTGCCAAAGCAGAGAGCGTAGCGTGTTCGACCTTCGGTTTCCCGGAACCCGGTAGTGGCCAGCGCATTATAGCCGCTGTAAAACGCTTAGTCTAATTACACAGTATAAGAGGCTCAGGAAGAACACGGGCCCCAAGGTAACAGCCCGCACCCGCTGAGCCCGGTCAGAGGGAAGCCGGAAACAGTCCGACCGGTCGATCCCACGACCTGGGGAGCGAGCTGCGGTCCAGGAGCGCAACTGGGCTACACCGGCCCCGAAGCTCCGCCCGCAGATGCAGACCCCGCACCCGCACCAAGGCGCAGGGGCCTGCGCGCTGAGACGCGAGGATCAGCGCGCCGCTCGCGGGTCACCATGCGGGACCACGGTGGAGGTGCGCGTGCGCACACGGGCGGGAGCCGCTCC